ATAAATATATATATATATATCTACATATATACACATAGTATGCACATATGGAACATGTATGCATACGTTCACATAGTATGTATATGTACAGTAAGTATCTGTGTGCTTGTCTACATATGTGCACATAGAATACATTCCAAATACATTCAGAAACATGTGCACAATACCTTAGTCATAGATTCAATGCACTGGTTTGTTGGGGAACCCCAACAGGATCAATATTTCTTGCAAATCGTCCGAAGTTCCCTTGAACCAATATCAAAGAATAGAACTGAACAACAATATTCCAATCACGTAAACTAACTCAATGAATTGGTAAGTTGATGAAACAAAACAGAAACAAGAACCCGATAAATAATTATCAGTAGCTGTGCCCCGCCAAAAACTTATATAATAATCACCAAAATACGATAATATAATTCATCAAATAAAACTGACATAGATGTTTCCTAAAATGGGGTAGTTCTAAATCATTCATTTTTGGTTGGGTTTTCCATTACCAACCATCTAGCTATAGGGGTGCCAGCACGTATTGAACCCCCTACATCATAGCTCAGTAAAAAACAATTAATATGTGGAACATAAATGAAAATAACCACTATTTCTAGAAAAAGAAATATGATAGGCATCCACTATCTGTAGATTATTTCCTTAGGCGAAAACACCATAATTTCCCCATGGCTTTTCCATCCCAAAACGCCACGGCGGCCACACCTCAAGCGGTTCAGCAACTTCTCTGCCACCAAGGCAGCTTTACGGAGGCTCAGGCCCTGACTCTGAGAAAGGAACACCCATGAAACACCCTGACGAACACATTTAAGACATCTGTAATCAAAACATGAAACAAGTAGTCATAGTCATACCATTATCGTTTTAGTTATAGTTATTCATGTTATTCTTGTAGTTATAGTTATAGCTAACTGATCATCACAAAACGTGATATTAATCAGTGATAGTTAAAAATAACTTTTGATTAAACCATAAACGCATTAACTATTGCAACCAAACAATCAGTGATATCAAAATTAAAACCATATTTAGTTTTATTTTAGCAGTACCCATATGTTACAACCACACATTCAGTGATATCAACATGTAAACATAGTTTTATTCTAGTAATACCCACTTACTTATAGTAATCAGTAGTTGTTGAATAGTGACACATTCCGCAATCCAAAATAACATTGCATGTTTTAGCAAATCACAAAAATAGATTTGAGTATAACATCACTTCCAACAATAATGATTTCAATTTTCTGTTAATATTTAAAGGACCAATATATATGTAACCATACAACCAGTTGTTTTGCTTTAAGTGATTTTAAGATGTTATAAATCTAGTTAGGGTGGGCTTATAGACCGACCAACAAAAAGATAGTCAGATAGTCGGGAACTCAATGGCTCCCCATCATCCATGAATATGGATACACATACAGCTCCGCTACCTCCTAACCGCTGGATAAATCATCATCTTTCTAATCTGCCTATAGTTGCACATATATAGTGTGTATATATATATCAGGAATATAGGATTGAAATGGAATGAACATGATTCAAAAAGAAGATCTGGATCTTAACAAATAAACTAAGCAAAGAAAACGGTGATTTTTTGCGACGGAAAAACATGGGATGGCAGCACCAAGAAAAGGGATACAACAAGCCCAGGGGTGTTTTTTCCAGGCGTCCCATGTAGATAGATAGCTTAGACTTAGACTTAGACTAGATTAGTTTAGATTGGGTTAGATTAGATTAGATTGGATCAGGTTAGATTTAGATTAGGTCGGATTAGATTAGATTCTAGTAGATTAGATTTAGATTAAATTAGATTGAAATAAGATCAGAGTAGATAGATTGATAGATAGGTATATACATAAATAAACAAATATATATATATATATATTTATTTATTTATTAAAAAAAAAAAAACGCAAATATATATATATGCTTGTAAAAAAATATATGCTTCTAAATATGTGTGTATATGTATATATAGACCTAAGCGACAGAAAACGGGAATACAACCAGGAAACCACACAAATGTTCAAAAGCAAGCAATTGTTGCAGGAACCCTCCACTGACTGGAACATGTGAACACATGTAATAAGCCACGGCTGTCTCCATTCATTCTGTTCGGTACAACTATGTAAAGCTGACAAATAATGTGCTGATACTATAAAGCGAGTCAGGTGAATAATAATTACAAGGTACTACCATGTGCTTCTGCATGTGTGCATCGATCATGTCAACCTCTACCATTGCTTGCTGGCAAAGCTCGGCTACCAATGCACCAGGGTGAAGATTCATCCGCAGTTGACATTGCATGGCTATCTTGGATACGCGGAAAAGAATGCCAGCTGCTTAACAAATATCCCCATGTATCCTCTGCCAATTTGACAGAGCAATGGCGCATGGCAATTGCTAATGGGTAAATCAACGAACTAAATGGGCCATAGCTATGTTAAATCACCAGAAGGTAGATACAATTAAATCCAATCAAGTCCCATCATGTTCTCATTTTTCCAAATTAATTAATTATAACCCCATAATTTCACTTTTAAATCTTTATTGTTGCTGGTCAACCCCGCAAATGATGTATCAACAAAATTTATCACCATTAAAACCCTACTGTATCCCTAATCTCTATCCCCAAAGTGTAATCCAAATGGCTATGATATCCATATAAATCTCCATCCTCAAATGTGTAAAGCTCAAGACTCTCCATCGGTTTGCTTGAACATAGGGCGCCTCTAAAATTCATGGTTTATCACTGTTTTCCCAATCAAACATGCCATTTTGGGGTAGGTATCCACTATTTTTAGACAAACCCAAATCTCAGATTATTGGTCAGATGTATCCTATTAAATCATATTAAATCACCAAAAATTTAATTTTATAAATGTCCATAGAATTGATGGTTAATCCATGTTAATCCCACTACACCAGCATTAAACCACCCTCCAATCGGCTGGCAGCTCCCAGCCGCCTCTAGCTGCGCGGCAAAGATCACTGTCTCAGAGACAGTGAGTTCCGAGAAGAATGGCACCTCCTGACTTCGACGGCTGGGGATAGCAACGGAGAAAGTCACTGCTTAGTAACCCTATGTGGCAATCATAAATAATCATAGTCATAGTCATAGCCAATGTTTTAATGGGCTAAACCATGTATAAGTATAAATGGGACAAACCATTTATCGGTGGGAAAAGCCATTTAATGCCATTTATAAATGGGATAAGCCCACTGAAGGGGGACGTACTGACTAGGCTTATTGTGGTTTATCAACCACTTCTTTAGTGGTTTGATCCTCCAAGTAGGAGCATTTCATGGGTTCACGGGGTGGGGGTTCCGGTTTTACAAAAGTAGGGCAAAGCCAAAAGAAAAAGGACATATTTGAACCACAAAAAAATCACGTGTGTACGTCATAGCTGTAGGGAATCTTCTACAAGGCCATGAAGTGATGTGGAGCCACTGTCCCTCCTTGGAAAGGACAGCATTCCATCCACAAACCATCCATAGTCATCCATGCTGGAAGCGTGTATCAGCCCCGAGTCAGTAGAAGGAATCAACCAGTATAACCAGTTAAGACCAAAAAAGAACATCATGCACCCATTGTTCAGATTGTTAAGCTCTGCAATATCTGCAGGGCTGCGGCCTGCTTCATGATTCTTCCCTCAAGCCGCCTGTGGATACAATAGAGCCCGTTATATAGGATCCGAATAATATACAGTTACAAGCATACATACACTACATGCGTATACATGTGTATATAATATACATAGCATTATATATAGCATGATATAGCTATACGTAGTTTTCCCCCAAGGCCCTGGGCCGCATTTCCACCGGAAGTCACCATCGGTGCTGATGCTCCAGCTTTGCTGGTGGCACCCAGCTCAGGTGGGGCACTAAGTTCGCCGGGAGATGGACCAGGAAGGGTGCGCATGCTCAAGGAATGGTGGTTTTATGAGATTTCACCACCAAGAATCAATTGGGTCTTAAGCAACATTAGTGGCTGTACACTGGGGATATTCAAGATAGGTTGATGTGGGTGTGCCTGAAAATGGGGCAAACCCTCAAAATGGTCAATCTTAAGGAGGAATCTGATCAACCAGTGGGTTGCGGGATGCCTCCTTTTCAAACAAACCCACGTTGATAGGTGAATGCCTGTAAAAACATAAGTAGGGATGATAGGGATGGCAACCAGTCTGATAATCATCTGTACTGATATCTGATTAGGATACAGATGATTACAGATGTCTGGGCAGTCTGTAATGGAAATCCTAGAGTTGTGCAGCCAAGAATGTGAAGACGTGGACTGTACGTATTATTAACCGTAGACAATATTACATCATTATATATATATATATAATCATGTAACACCACAAAGTATCAAGTCCATGTCTGTGTGGGGTTCGAAGGTGGGCAGTAGACACTTGTTATTTGACTGAACGGCATCCTGTTCCATCATGCTACGGATTGAAAATTGAAAGATCGTCTCAGACCTGTCACTTACGCGCTTCGCTGCAACAAGCATAGGTGCGCAGCCAGGAGCCTCAACAACAACCCAACCGCATCATCTTCCAATATTCTCCTATGGCAACATTGAACCAAGTCAATAAAGGGGAAGTCCCACAACATCCAACGCAGCCAGATTCCACTGCGTGTTTGCCAAGTCTTCCACCTACAATGATTTTTTGAAGGAAAAAAACGCCCCTCTTAATATCTAGCCCCATCAGTGGACCCGACCAGGTGAGCGACCGATCCAATGTGACCATGTGCTTTCATGCACTTGTCTGCGCAAGGCATACCTGGACGCAGAGAGGTCAAGTGGGCCACCACTTCGGGGTGGTTTCACCACACTGGGCCTTAGAAAATGAGTTCCATTTTCGACAATGGCCTGTTGTTCATGCCAATGTCAGGACGCCAATCAACCTAACTGTGTGTTCGATGCTGGCCCACCCATCCATATTCCGTCACATCCCATCATATCCCTTCGTCCCTTTGGCCGATGCTTACCTAAGCAATTCGATAGAAACACGACCACTTCTCCATAGATTCCGCTTGACTGGTGGGTTTCCTGATAAAATCAAACAGTCACCCCAAGCCACAAAAGGCCGCCCCACGTTCCAGAAGCGAGACCCCCCCGGCCTTTCTTCCAGAAAACGCCCCGTGTCCACATACTCCGCAATGAATCGATCAATGTGTTTCACCAACGCACTACTAGCCTGCAGGCATGGTAAGGTTTCAATAGGTTTGGTGATGTCAAAAGTCGGGTTCTATTCTGGGCACATCAAAAACTGCATAAAACATGCTGAAAAAACGATGAAAATCAATTATATATAATGCGTTACTGAAAATGAAACCCGAAACATATCCTGCTCATCGTCCAAAACCCTATTTTTAGCGCGCCAAGCTGGATTTAAAGCAAATGCGGGCCTAGGATGGCCTAGGTGCTTTCAACCACTTGCCAACAGCAATGGGCAATGGGTATGTCCTAGAAAACCCAACAGCCTGGTGCTCACTGAACTGGCCAGCAAATGGATGTTCGTGTCCACCGAAAAAAAAACATCTGTAACCTGTTAGGGAATTGATCCGCCCTCTCAGTTCTTTCCCAGCTCGTGTGCACTGGTCATTTTTGTGTGCCTCTTTTCCCTTCCCTTGTGGTTCATGGCTGGCCGGAGATACCCTGCAGCAAGGAACAAACAGTGATTAGGGAGGTATTTCAACATACATGCTGCATGTAAACCATTTATATACATATATGTATATATTAATCTGTATACATACACATGCCCATCAAAACAGCAAACAACTATATATATATATATACACATAAATATAAGTATTTTATATTATACTATATTGTATTACATTATACTACATTATATTATATTATATTATATTATATTATATTATATTTTATTATATTTTATTATATTTTATTATATTTTATTTTATTATATTTTATTATATTATATATTGTATTATATTATATTATAGTATATTATATTACATTATATTAAATTACATTATATATTATATTACATTACATTATCAAAGGAAGTTGGGAAGCAATACTTCCGAGTTACGAATGACTTTTACTTGATGGAATTGACTATGATGAAGGGTGGTGCGCGAGTGAGACTTGATGGAATTGACTATGATGAAGGGTGGTGCGCGAGTGAGACTTGACCTTGATGAAGGGTGGTGTGAGACTTTACATTACATAACAATACATCAGAAAAGAACTGACTTGGATGAAGGGTGGTGTGAGCCTTTACACTACATGACAATACATCAGGCAAGAACTGACTTTGATGAAGGGTGGTGTGAGACTTTACACTACATAACAATACATCAGAAATGAAATGAAAAGAACTGACTTTGATGAAGGGTGGTGTGAGCCTTTACATTACATAACAATACATCAGAAAAGAACTGACTTGGATGAAGGGTGGTGTGAGCCTTTACACTACATGACAATACATCAGGAAAGAACTGACATTGATGAAGGGTGGTGTGAGACTTTACACTACATAACAATACATCAGAAAAGAACTGACTTTGATGAAGGGTGGTGTGAGCCTTTACACTACATGACAATACATCAGGAAAGAACTGACTTTGATGAAGGGTGGTGTGAGACTTTACACTACATAACAATACATCAGAAAAGAAATGAAAAGAACTGACTTTGATGAAGGGCGGTGTGAGCATTTAGATTACATAACAATACATCAGAAAAGAACTGACTTGGATGAAGGGTGGTGTGAGCCTTTACACTACATGACAATACATCAGGAAAGAACTGACTTTGATGAAGGGTGGTGTGAGACTTTACACTACATAACAATACATCAGAAAAGAACTGACTTTGATGAAGGGTGGTGTGAGTCTTTACACTACATGACAATACATCAGGAAAGAACTGACTTTGATGAAGGGTGGTGTGAGACTTTACACTACATAACAATACATCAGAAAAGAACTGACTTTGATGAAGGGTGGTGTGAGACTTTACACTACATAACAATACATCAGAAAAGACGACCTTTGATGAGGGTGGTGTGGACGTCTTTACATACATACAATACATCAGAAAAGACTGACTTGATGAAGGTGGGTGAGACTTTGCTCTACATACAATACGGCCACTTGTAATGGTTGCATGAATGTTGCATGGGCTATGTTTTGGGGAGGAAGCCGGAGCACGAAACCGTGCGTTTCTCCGTGTAAAGTGGCTGCAGCCGGCGATGAAAGGTACATCGTCTGTGCGGCGCGGTTTTGGGCTGGGGTCGTTCCGGACGCGATTGGTTCCTTCTGTGTGTTTTGCAACAAGGGGTTGTTCCTGTGTGCGTAGTTCTATGCGTTTCCTGAAGCTGTGGTTGCTGATCGCATTGTAATGGTTGCATGAATGTTGCATGGGCTATGTTTTGGGGAGGAAGCCGGAGCACGAAACCGTGCGTTTCTCCGTGTAAAGTGGCTGCAGCCGGCGATGAAAGG